AACCCCCGTGCAAGACGCCCGTCTCGCCTACCTCGGCAAAGGTGAAGAGAAGGCAGCATAAACCTAGCAGCAAAATGCAAGTCCAGGTCCTCATCGCGGTCTAATACACTCGGGGCGCGAAGGAAAAGCGAGGGTGCTGTGTCGGAGCTCCAGCCCGGCCCCTGTGGCTGGGGAATTCTGTACCATCCCTCAGGGAAAGACACTGGTGAGGCGTGCGGCTCGGGGCTCTTCTCCGTCCACGTTGAAGGGCCGGGAGGGGGGTACTTAGGGGATTTGTATGTTCCCTTTACTAGAGGAGCTTCGCTGCTTGCTTGCTGCTGCTGCTGCTGCTCTCGCGCGCTCCTCTTGGCTTTAGGACTAGCCCAGCCGGTACTTCTGCATATTTGCTTAGATCAGACCAAAGTGAAACCCAAGGAGTCAATCCGGAGCGCCGCCGAAACGCCCATCACCTGTCTGAGACAGCTCCCCCCCCTCCAGACATGCGGGAGAGCGTCAAACCCGCCTCTTTTCCCCAGCAGGAGGCAAACCCCAGCGGCAGGTCCCTGGAATTATTTATTGATTGCAAGATTCCACACACACACCCCAGCACACTCTCCTGCCCTTTTTCTGTTTGTTTGTTTGTTTTGGTTCTTGTAATGGATCTTTATTTAGAGGGATCGAAATGTTTCTCTTGCTGAAAAAGGTGCCCCCTCCCCCACTTTCCCCTTCCTCCCCAGGTTAAAAAAATCGGAGGAATATTGCAAGATCCCAGGCTGCCTGGTGCAGCTTCTTCCCCACTTTGCACGGGAGAGAGGCCAGGTTTAAATCCCCGGGGAGCCGGTGCCGATCGGAGCGAGGAGGAGGACTCGGAACTCCTAGGGCAGGGAGGGATCTCGGTCTGTCTGGAGTGTGAAATAATCCCGAGGAGGAGAATATACCGCTGGCACCCTCCCACCCCAGGCACCTCCCTCTCCTCTCCCTCCCCCCCAAACAACAAGTAGTCTGGGCTGGGGGCTTCCTGCTGCAGTGTGCAGCCCCGCGCGCTGCAAAGCCACCTGGCAGCTAGCGGAGCCCTGCGCCGGGGAAAGAGACCCTGCAAAACCGGGGGGGGGGGCCTCTGCGCCCCCCCTCCCGCAGCCAGCCCAAATCCTGTCACCTCTGCGGCACTGGGAGGGGAGGGATCAGCCGATGCACAGGGAAGGGCCGAGAGCTTCTGCGCAGATCCAGGCTGCAACCTTAAAAGCATCCACCTTGTCTCGCTTATAAGGCAAAGGGAAAGCGCCATTATTCAGCCACCCCCTGGTACTCCTCCTCCCCCCGCACCCACCCATACACCTTCCCAAAACGCCAGGGCGGTGCGGGGCCCGGGGAAGGGCAGCGCCATCCGCACTCAAAGCAGCAGCCCGAGGGGAGATGGCCCCGCGGAGTATCTCCTCTGCCAGTGGGCAAAGCGGAGGATGCTGCGTGGCTGCCCCACCTTGCAAAGAAGTCCCAGCGGGGGAGGGGGGAGAGGGGAACACGACTGTTCTGATGCTTGGGGTGAGAGGGGCCGCC